AAGATTAGCAAATTTTTATATATTTTGGAATCTATAAACCTTGATGTGTGCCGGCTAGATTCCCAGACTGGAAAGCAAGTCAGGATAGAACAATCTTTGTTAAAAGCTGGTATACCCTTCTACAGAAACAACCAGACAGGTGGAATAAGTCTTGGCCTTGGAAAATGTTGTGAGAGTAAAAAGCATCTTCTAAGGTTTTCTTGTTTTGGTTGGACTGCTGTAAGGAATGTGAGTTTAGCTCATAGAATTTTACATGAAAAGGCTTCTCCCTGTGCAGTAGATGCTGGTTTTGATTGGCCATCTATTTTTCCTTTGCAGGCAAACAAGACAAATCTAGGATCTTTTTCTAAGAGAGATTCTTTCAAGGACACAAAAAACAAACACATATCATTTGTAAAAAATAAATGTATTCATAATTTATGTGTCTGGTGTAGGAACAACAAGATAGAAAATTTGTCTCAGTACATGTTGACTTTCAGAGTTCCTAGGGATGAAACAGATGGTGAAAATGTAAATTTTGTTCTTTATATTTTGCAGTGCCTTCTTGGCACTATTAATGAAACTTTTATCAAAAATAAAGTAAGGAAAGAAAGGAACAGCAAGTGGAATATATGTAAGACTTACCAAGTCAGCACGCCTTTCCTCCAAAGCATAATCAGTCTTGAGAGCATCAGCAGGTAGACCATAAAGTGTGGGATTCCGTACCATGCGGACATAGAGGTAAGTATACAGGAGCCATTTACATGCTTCCTTGGCATTCAACACAGTCCCGAGGACAATCTCGGCATTTAACTGATCTGCCAACTTGGAGATAAATTGACTTTCTATTGGCAGCTGCTGATTCATCAGGGACAAATAATATTGCAATTCGCTGTGGCCCGTTAATATGATTCCTTCACCATAGGTGTCATACTGAGGACGTCCAGCGCGACCAAGCATTTGCATAACATCAAGAGGACTGAGTTCAGTCCATGCTCCTTTCTCAGGATTGTAAATCTGGGTACCTTTTATAATCACAGTATGTGCAGGTAAATTGACACCCCATGCTAAAGTGGCTGTTGAAACCAACACTTGCACATGGCCATCAGCAAAAAGATCCTCCACAAGTTGCCGATCAGTTCTAACCATCCCCGCATGATGAATAGCAAAACCATATGGTAAAAGATCTTTGAGATCATTGCTCTTCACAAGCTCAGTTTGCGACTGTAGAAGTTCCCGAGTTAAACTGTCCTCCTTCAAAAACTTACCAAGGGTGTCATTAGCAAGTGCAGTATCCCGTATCGCACGAGCTGTTTTAGATGTTTCCTTCCTTGAATGGACAAAAATAAGCACCTGATGCTTTCCTGCAATACTAATCACCTTCTCATAGCAAACGTCATTCATCAACTGGAATCTCTGCAGTGGCTTCTTAACTGTAATTCCAATATACTGCTGAGCCAACGGAACAGGCCTATAGCTATTGTCAAAATGGAAGAGTCCTTTCTTCAGATCCACTCGCAAAAACACAGCCACGTCCTCATAATTTGGAAGAGTTGCTGACAATCCAACAAGACGAATATGCTCTTTGGTGGTTTCGATCTGTCGAATAGTTCTAGCAATGATACTCTCCAAGACAGGACCTCTGTTGTCATGCAGGAGATGAATCTCATCAATAATAAGAAGTTTAACAAGCTGTGTATATGTGCGATCGCCCGACTTTCTGGTTATAATATCCCACTTCTCTGGGGTAGTCACGATAATTTGAGTCTCTTCAATCTGTTGACGAGTTAATGTTTGATCACCACTCAACTCTTTCACTGTGACACCATAATGTTCCAAACGCTTGGAGAGATTACCAACCACTTCAGCAACAAGGGCTTTCATGGGTGCCACATATACGATCTTATAGTTGTTGTGGTTGAATGTACCATCATCTTCATTGCGGTTTAGTGCAATTTGCTGAAGTATAGTGAGCATAGCTACATTGGTCTTCCCGGCACCAGTTGGAGCACAGAGCAAAATGTTCTCCGGAGAAAAAAGGGCAGTCTCATATACTTTACTCTGCACCCTGTTCAATTGGGTCATCCCACTGAATGCTGGTCGAGCCCACTCTGGAATGGAGGATATCTTCACAAGCTCTTCACCAGGGTCTAGTGGCCTTGGCTTCAATGCTGGCACGTGAACTTCCTCGTACCCCTTCTTATGATTCCTGTAAGACCCAACTGGAAGCTCACATTTCTTATTTGCCATCAACAAACCGCCTTGCTGAAATGCAAGGCTGTCAAGATCAAGAAACTGACGCTGCCCCATTAACCAACCATTATCAAGATCTCTATCTACAAGTGCCTTCCTTTCTCCATCACCATCAACACCAGACTCATCTTTAAGACGCCTAGCCTCTTCCCTAATGCTTTTCTCCAGATTCTTCTGCCTCTCTTTTGCAGTAGCCCTAGTAGCATGCAACTGTTCTAATATAGCCACATGATCTGGCCCCAACCCCAACATCTCTTCTTCAATTTTCTTCCTATTCTCTTGGTCTTCTGCCCTTGCAAGGCGGGTACACCATACTACCTTTAGCCGGTTGCGCAGAAGATATTTGATGAGACTGAACTTATCAAATTGGAGATGCACCAGCAGCTTTGTTTCTACTTCACGATCATCGCCTTCAGCAAGAATTTTAAGAACCTCTTCAGCAAGCTTTTGGCTCTGTTGGGGATCGATCTGCTGCTCATAAGCTTGAGAGATCTTTCTTTGAAGCCAATAAGCATCTATGTCCTGAACATTCAAGGCCATTCCCTCATCGGCATCCCGCATCTCATCATCATCAATGCCACTGCCCATCTGCATAGCACCAGAAGCACTGGCTTCCATCACATCATCGTCCTCCTCTTCATCATCAGGTACCACATCAAGATCACTCTCTTCTTCTTCTTCTTCATTCTCCTCAAACTCAACTGCTACACCGACATCATCGTCAAGACCATCATCGCCGTCAGCTGCAGCAGACGCTGATGCATCGCCACCATCCTGATAGTCAGTAATGAGTCGCCCAATTGACACCAACTGATCAAACACCTGATTCGATATAGGATTTAACAGCTTCTCAATTTCCTTTTTCTTTTCAGGGTTCTTGAAGTTATCATTTTTCAACACCGCCAACATCTCATCAGCTGCTCCACTCACAATGTTGAGAGGCTGTCCCCCAAGTTGCTGCTGAATCAAGCTGAGCATAGCCTCATAAGCAGCCCTAGTTTCCTTTGTTTTAGGCTGGTAAACACCTTCCTCACTCGAAGTAAGAACACTTTCTTCCTGAAGCCGTCTCTTCTTACTTTGCCTAGTGGGCTCAGAGACAAGTGGTTCCCGCTCCTTCTTCTTCCTAGCCTTCTGAAGTTTCTCATCCAACTCTGGAGGTCTACCCTTGTAAGCTCGATCACCAAATGATTTAGGGTCAATTTTTCCATAAAGAGACTCAGGTTCACCAGAGGGTTCATGAGTATCTCGGGGACGAGAATCAGTAGTTAGAACAAGACTTGAGTTCGCTCTGTACTCATACTGTTTGAAACGTGCATGTGCTTCTGCACCACCGCCCAAATTCGACATATTTCAGTCGAAAATCAGAAAACCTAAAATTCAAAAAAAAAAACTCAACTACTCAAATCAGTCGGCTCAAATAGCTAAACCCTAAGTACAACTACAAAATTCAAAAATTGACAATACAGTTGGGAAAACGCAGATACAAGTTCAAACGAAAAACAATAACAGCAATAAAGACGAATTAACAAAAAAGCTTTGCACTCACCGGAGTCAAAGAGAGAGATTCGAACGCTTCCGACTATGCCGCAAGTAGAAATAATACTATACACTAACTGATTAGTAGTAGTAATATCTAGGGCTCACAACCGACTCGAAGAATCGGAGGACAAGTAGCCGCCTCTAAGGATTGAAGAAGCCGAGTTTGTATGGAGTCAAGTGTTATTTGATTGATGCCCTACCGTAGTGAGCCTTTGAACTACAATAAAATCAATTCTAGATCTACAATTACCACACTATTTTTTCCCTCTAATTATCGATTTTTGAGCGTGCATAAATAGATTTTTTAAATTAAATTAAATAAATAACCATGTGCATACTACATAGAAAATCTCATGCAATTTGACATATAATTTGAGAATACAAATATTAGTAAAAGTATATTTTTACGTGTATTATGTCTTCTTTTTATTATTTTTCATTCATTTGACATCATATTTAAACGCGATGAAATTTAGATTACGCATGGCAGAGCTTAGGACTTATCTATAGGAAATAGACTCTAAATAAAAGAAAATCATTGTAGGAGCGAATCGAAAACTAATTAAAGATGAACAGATTTTTACTATATCAAATACAATTCAAATTAATATAATTATTGCATAATTATAAATTTATGACTAATATCGTGAAGTCATAGACTCATAGTACAACTATTACTCATATTTATAGCAAAGTAAAAGTATTTTTAAAATATAAATGGCTTTACTTATTCACTATACAATTTTAAATTCAATATATTTATAAGTTGTTATCACGATGAGCCTCGTTCAAAGATATGGTAGGTCATTACCATTTTGTAGTGATCTTCCTAGGCACTCCAACATTTTTCTTTCCTAGATTACTCGAATTCACAATCGTTAACATCAAATGTAAATTAGTTGATAAATAGTTATATAATTGTGCAATGATTTTGAATATTTCATGAAGATGTACCAAGTACAAATTTCTTCAATCAATTCGATTATTAAATGCATAGATAACCACTTAACTTGACACATTTTATAAAATAGTCATTCAAATTTGCTTAAAGCAAAAAGACCCGGTATCCTATTAACTTTAGGCTTTAGCATTTCTTGATGAAGAGCTGATTAAAAGGTGAGATTCTTCTACTAAAAACTTTGAAACATTTTTTCTAGTAGAATCAGAAAAATGATTGTTATGTTTCCTATTCATGTTTGATTTTACTGAAGTCAGTCCATATTTGTCAATATCAGAAACAAAAATGTGATCTTTCTAACTTCAAACAAATAGAGAAGAGCACAATACGGACTTATTGAAGGTTTAAAATTTAAATGATAAGAGAATTTTGAATAGCATTGAAAAACCTAAGGAGAACAACTTAACATGAACGGGTACAATAATTGTCTTTCATAACCCCACAAAGATGAACATAAGCAGCTCAACGTGTGCCGAATCAACTCACACTGAACCAATAGTTTCAGTAAAGTTGATCGATCAAAGCACCTCAAAATTGCAAGTATGAAAGTTTTGGAGCCACTTCACTATCCTTCCATAGGCTCAGCTTGAGATGCCTCTTCTACCTTGTCACCTTTCTTTCCTGCTCATGCAAAGGGGGTAAGATATCAGAATTCAAAAGTAACTGGTAAAAACAAGTTTTGCAACATCGATTCAGTAAATATATTTTGCAAATGCATTTTGAATTACCTTTCTTTTTCTTCCCACCACCTTTCTTCTTAGTCTTGGTGGGAAGGGCTAGCCAAGCCTTGATTTCAGGTTCATTCTCTGTTGTCTTTGTAGGCTGAAGCTCCTGGAGCGCATGAGATGTTACCCTATCCGATCCATTGGGCATTAACAGCACTGTGAACTTAATGTGAGCAACCAAATCACCTGCGTAAGCAACAAAAGATGATGAAAACGAACAAGGGATATTATCGACAAAACTTACATCTAAATTTTGAATACTGAAGAAAATGGTACCAACCAGGTTTCTCATGTAGAACAGGATATGGCTGCAAAAGCTCATGGTTAACACATTCAACAAGGCCCAAACGAGCCCTCTTCTCCTCCAAATCCCTGATCAAGTAAAAATAAGAGAGTAAGTAAACAGCATTCTCTGTGAAACCAGACATCACTATTATCATGAAACTTCTAAATTACTACAGTTGAATATGAATTTTGAGAAAATCATCGGACCTTGCGGTAAATGGCATGATAGGGAACTTCTGACTGATTTCACTGAAGATGAACCTTGAGGCTTTCATCTTCAGGTTATAGCTTTTGTCTACAGCTCTCTTGTAGATGGTTGTCTGTTTCTCATCCAACAACTTGGGCTGCAAAGTTTAAGAAAGGCCCGGGAAAATAAACTGTGAGATTCACGAGGAGAACTCGTAATATTAGATATTCAGATGTCAAAGGTGCAATACACATCCATACCTTTCCATCACCAGTGCTTGTCACGATATCAATGGAGTAGACCTCATTCTCTTCAAATTCTGCTTCATCTACTCTTGTGTCAGGATTGGACACGCTCAATACAACTTTGTTTCCATCAATAACAAACTGCTTCATTTGATGGCTCAATACACCCTCGACAATCTTGCAGTCATAGGCAGCAGCAACCTTCTGAATAGCTTCTGTTACATCCGAGTTCTGCAACGGCCAAGAAACTTAACAACACAAATAAATACACAAGAAGCCAAAAAATAGATATAAGACAAAGAGCATCCTGACATCTTCATGCCATGACTATAATGGCCTAAACAGCATCTGTATACTAAACACCTACTCTACCTTGTGTCCTTGTCTACATAATCACAAGGAAGACAGCCTCACAGTAATCTGAAGATTAAGAACACAGTTGAAACAAATAGAAAAAGACCTAACAACTTACAAGTTCACACACATAAAACATACTACTTTTTATATAACACTACCTAAGATGATCTATAACTCCGGCATTACAGAGCATAACACTCAGTTAAGTGGATCTCATGCAAATCAAAGAATAGTGATTGAGGTACATATCAAGAACTTTTTCAACAAATCATGTTACTACATATCAAATTTACCAAGCACTAAGAGAACGAAAATTTAATTGTCAAAAAGAAAAAAAAAACAGCACTAAGAGACTGGAAATGCTAGACCAGTGAAGATCAAAATAATCATACGATTGGAGGGGAAAAAATACATTGCAAGTAAAATTTGTTCACATCCATCAATTATGTCTCCAACTATATTGTTTGAGCTTCCTCAATTGGAAAAAAGAAGCATCAATAGCTCCTTCACTTCCTAAAAAGACCCACCAAACTGAGGATGTAACAAGTAGTCACACAGAAAAACACTTGCAATTTACCAACTTAAAAAGGTCTTATGGTTTCTTTTAAATAGGCAAAGGTGAGAATCATAGCATTAGCTGAAAAAGCTACAGCAGAGCAGGTTTTTTAAGCAAGAGGAAATGTTGCACAAAGCAAAGAGCAGCAAAGATTGAAGAAAAAACATGCACATCAACACCAGATCACTACCACCATTTAGAAACTAGACTGACCCTATTTGGTAAAATTACTTGAGCTAACAGAAGTACGCACTGAGGAATAGCCAATGGGAAACAAACAAAAAAACTATAGGAGTAAGAAATAAATATAATTCAATTCCACGTAGAAATCCCTTAATTATATATAAGCAAGATACAGAAAGAAATATCAGCCAATACCTCTAAAATGGCATGTAATTAGTTGGTGCATCACAAAAAAAAACATCTAGAATGACATTACCTTCTTTCCTGGTCTTACAAGTCTCAAAGCAACTTCAGCAGCTGTATTAGTAGCTGCAATGACATCAGCAGCTCTACCAGTAACTGGTCCTTCGTGAAGAACATGTGTATGTCCAACTACTGCAATAAATCCATCAATGTGACATCCCATATCACTGCATCAAAAAAGAACTACATATTACTCACAAAACAGTTTATCTCAGGGTCGCAGCAAAATCCTCTGAATGCATTGACTAGTGAAGGCCTAAAGTTAGAATTTGACCTGGACAAAAACCAAATTATTTATGACTTAAAGTTCCTGCTATCAGCACTTGATGCCAGAATTCAAGCTTAGCTCTGTGCTGAAAGAATTTTCCTTTTTTTCTACTAAAGCAGGCTTCTGGAATCATGATAAACAATGAAAATCACCTCAAAATGATGTAAACCATTACTTACATCTTCAATATATCACCTTCTTCCACTACTGTCTCATCACTAGCCAATGGAGAGAAATGGCACACGGTGTTATTAACTGAAATACATGTTGGAAATGCAACACCTCTCTCAATCTTCTTCTTCACATTCTTGTACATATTTCCAGTTTGCCTGCACAACGATTTATTCTTCAATCAGTAAACTTAGCAGATATCATTATTCCTGATATACAAGGCAAAATTACATGTGTTGAAAGTATAGAAAACCCAAGAAGTACATACTCTTTGATAAAGGCATCCCCTTTCTCACAAAGATCAACTATCTTTGCTTTTGGCTTGCATTCGGACAACACCAACTGCAGCGCCTCTGCAAAATCAAAACCAAAATAACAAAACTTAGTGCTTCATACCATGAACCTAGGTTCTACTATGAATATGGCTTTTCAAATACACTTTAATCACTGTAATTATAAACAATTGAGATTTTTCTCCACCACAGGGATTAAACACCAACACACTTTCAGCTATCAGATGCCACAAAAGTTTCAACTATCAATCAGAAAATCAAATAGGCTATGTAAAAAATGCATAAAACATCAAATTAAAAACCCAAAAAAATAAATAGAGAAAGGGGACTAACTGTTAACAATTTCAGCGGCGCTCTTGTACTTGGTGACGACCTCAGGACTTGTGAGATCCAATTCTTTCTCTTCTCTCTCGTCGTCCGACATAGTTACAAAACAGCTATTAATTCAAACACACAAATTCTGCAGGAAAAAAAAAACACAAAACAACGGAGAAAAATGAACTGATAAGAGAATGGCGACAGAGAAAGAGGAATAAATGTAGAAAACCGAAAACTTACCGAAGCAAAATTGGGATTTTGCGATGGAAGAAAAATGGAGGCAACAAGGGTTTGGAAGCTAGGGTTTTTAGTGAAGTTAAAGATGTATGAGGTGATAAAAAGGAGACAAAGTACTGATTTTTTTTTTCTCTTTCCTAATGGGCAGTTTATGCCTTGTTTGGCAATGTTCATGTGAGTAGTATTATCAATTGGTATTTTGGTTTGACAAAAAAAAGAAGTTGTTATTTTTTAAATTTATTTTGTTATTATTTTGGAAGGATAGCTATATAAATGAGGAAATAAAAAGTAACAAAAATCTTTAATGAAATTGAAATTCTAGAGGCAATCAATAATTTGTAAATTTTAAATAAATTAGAGGTAAGTGTGAGATTTGTGGTTTTGAGATTTTTTTAATTTTTCAATGAACCTCGTAACTTTTTTATTTCATAAAATAATGGAGAAATTAAGCAAATACCACATAAAAACAAAATAATTATAAATATATATCCCTTACATTTATACCCTACTAAATAATTTATACTATATACCCCCAAATTAATTTCGTTTTACTATGTTAAATCAATATATATATATATATATATATATATATATATATTGTACTGATATCATTAAGACTGATAATTTCGCTTATGTGATATCATTAAGACTAATATCACATAATATATATATTGTATTGATATCATTAAGACTGATAATTTCGCTTATATATATTGTATTGGTATCATTAAGATTTATTGTTTAGAAATTACTCATTAGTCAATGATATTATAAGAGTATGTGTATGTTTTTTTGGTATCATCAAGGTTTATTGTTCATGAATTACTTATTAGTCAATGATGCTATAAGAGTGTATATATATTCATATATATTTGTGGTATCATTAATGTTTCTTGTTCACACCCTACTCATTCATATATATTTGTGGTATAAGGTTTCTTGTTCACACCCTACTCATTAGTCAACGATACTATAAGAGTATATATATTGTTATGGTATCATTAAGGTTTCTTGTTCAGAAATTACTCATTAGTCAATGATACTATAAAATTATATTATATATAGTTAGTTAGCCGTGATATCATTAAGGTTTCTTATTCACACTCTATACTCTTTGCTCATTTGTAAATGATACTGTAAGAGTATATTAACAAAGGGTATCTCTAATAAAGGAAAAAAAAATAAATTACCAAATGGTATCTCTAATAAAGGATAAAATGAAAAAAAAAAATAATAAAGAAGGAAATAATAAAATTTGTTACCAAATGGTATCTATATTAAAGGATAATATGAAAAATGAATAAAAATAATAATTAAGAAAAGAACAAAAGTAATTTATTTTATTTTCTTAAAAAGACAAAAATATAGAAAGAAAGAAAAAAATAAAAAGAAGATAAAAAATGACAAAAATATTATCAAATGGTATCTCTAATAAATGATAATATGGAAAAAAAAGAAGAAAATATAAATATTTAGCGAGAAAGAACAAAAGTAATTAATGATAAGAAAAAAATAATAAATGAGAAAAAAGAAACAAAAATAATTAATAACAGGAAAAATTGTATGAAATAACAAACTATTAATTCAAATTAAATGTTATAGTCATAGTTTATTTTAATCGTAATTAGCAGCAAACATCCCATTTTTTTGCCATCTAATTCGATATACAATTAGCCATTTTCGGTATACAACTAGCCATTTTATATATTTCGGTATAAAATGTATAAAATGTGTTTTTGTTTGTATAAAGCGAGAGAAAAGTGTATATACAAATAGATATATTTTTGTCTTATACACTTATAATTATACAAATACAAATCTTATTATACAGATTACAATGTATAAATGAATTTATACAAAACTGAACAATTTGTATAAAATTGGATGTTTGTAGCGAATTATACAAATCGAAAGCTCCATAGCAAACATAAAATTTGCTATGGAGCGCAATTATGCAAACTATAGTTATAACATACAAATATGATTTTTATATTTGCTACATGTGAAAGTTACTCTTAATAATATGATAAAAGCTTTGGGTTGGGGTGAATTGGGCCTAAGTTTTAAAAGATTTGGGGGGAAATTGGGCCTAAATTTAAAGGGAGTTGAAGGAAAATTTGGCCTAAACTAAAAGGTACAAGCTGTAATTTATTTTGGGTCAATGTGTATCTGCTGAATTAGTTTGGGTTAAACTATGAAATTGTAATTATTTTATGTTTTGTGGTTCATTTATGTAATTTCCTCTAAGATTAAATAGGTATAGAAAAGTTTTAAATGAGCCCAAAACAAAGCCCAAAAAAGGTAAACAAAGTTCGATCGATCCATTAAGACATCTGCCAACATCTATAAATCAATCCTCTGAGTTAGGGTTTTTATTGTGATCTCCGCTTTCTTCTCTATCATATCGCCTCAGGCGGCGGGGCTTCTTTGAACATAATCTTTCATTTTTTTCTTGTTGTGCATTATCAACATTTAACGTTTGATGTCTTCGCTGCTTCACTTTCTTAGATCGCAAAAGTAAGTATCCTCCTTTGTCATATTTTTTATCTCGTTTCTTCCTTGTTTGTAATCTCTTCCTCTTTTGCAGGGGTATACTCTTGATGATGGATGTAATGGATTTCAAAGTGGTTTCAACACAGGTACCAAGTCACGTGTGTTGTGAGAAGAATTTTATGTAAGTTCATTTTTTTAACTATCCCTTTCATCTCTTTTCTTTCTCTTCGGTCTAACCTTTTTTTTTTATATAGATATCTATAACTTTTTGAGGTACGTATATTTTTAATTAATAATTTATTTAGTTCACAAAGACACATATATTATGAGTACGTATTACTAAAGTTGATATCCAATTTTGACCATTTTTTTAAATTTATTTTTCGAGCTTCCATATTTAATAATAGATATAATTACCTTATTTTAACTACCAATTTATTAATTTTATATTTTTTATAATTATTATTAAAATTGTATATTTTATTATCGAAGTCACTATTATTACTTTGCACCTTTTGTTTTAAACAATTGATTGTCGTCACCTTATTTAAAAAAATCACACTTTTTAAATTAACTATAGGTCGTTAAATTGTATTTTATTTATATATTAACATAAAGTTATAATATTAATATTTTGTATATATTAATTATTAGTTGTCATCACATAATTTATTATATTAGTTATTAAGTTAGAAGCTCAAAATAGTATAAAAGAAGTAAAAGAAGAGAAAAGACCACAGAAATCAGATCAAAACCCTATATGAGATCAAATATTTCAGTTCATGAATTTTCTAATAATCTATATAAAAGGTAGCTCAAATATAGGCTTTAATCCATGTATTTCACTGGCAATATTCTCAAGACCCAAAAGTTAAATTAGATCATCTCTTTTCTCAATGTGTCGTTTGTTCCCCTTCATTTTTGACTAAAAATTCATCTCTTTTTCACTATTAACAAAGCACCTCTCTATTTTCATGTAGACACTGAATACTCCATTACATTTTTTTATTTTTTTTCCTCTTCGTGGTAGATTTAGTCAAGTATAAAGATAAAAGTCTTCTGAAATTTTGACATTGAATACTAGTATTTACATTCATTTTTTGACGAACCTTTTTCGCCATTCATACTACCATAAGCACTGATAATTTCTTTAGAAAGATCTAATAAAATTTCTGTTTAAATATATATTGGTGATCAAAGTACCTCATTCAGTGTCTCGCAGAAGTTTTTATAAAGACTTTTGTTGTCGTAAGGAGTTTTGCTTTGAGAATTAATATTGCGGCTAAATTTGGAATATGTATCTTTTTTTATTTGCTTCTCTAGCTATCTCTTGTTGCATTTCGAGCAAAAACGAAGGAGGAAAACATGAGAAAATCTTAAGTTACGTTCTCTTCATGCATTATTTTTCTTCCTCTTTTGAAGATATTGAAGAAAGCTTTTGAATTTTGTGAATTTTTTTAAAATAATTTTATTTTTTAGTCATATTTTTTTTATTAATAAGCAGGATTACTCACACATCTAATCTAATACTTCTTTAGTTTTAGTTTGACTTTCAATTTGAAGTATCTACCTTATTATAGACAAGCCTATATATATAATCAAAACTTTGTTCATCCGCCATAATAAATTCAAATTTGTATTGTTCTTCTTTTAGTTCAATGAAGTTTTTAGGCCAATATCCGCAACAAGAACAAACTCATCAAGATCAAATGTGAATTTCAAGCGAGTTGATGAGTAAAGTTCATGATCAAGAAGAAACAAACACTAGTATATGGGATAAATACAATCATGGTATTAAAAAGTACAAGCTTAAGATTTTCTTGTATACTCCACATACTAGTTTTTGCTTTTTCTTGGTAAGAAACTTGAATCTTCAACTCTTTTGATATTTCACTTTGATCTTGATGATCTTGTTTCTATCGTAGAAATTTGCCTAAAAACTTCATTGAATGAAAAGAAGAAGAAAAAGTTAAATTATTCAAAACCTTATTAACCTGCCACAATAATTTCAAATTTGAATTGTTCTTTTTTTCTTCTTTTAGTTCAATAAAGTTTTTAGGTCAATGTCCGCAACAAGAACAAATCATCAAGATCAAATGTGAATTTCAAGCAAGTTGATGAATAAAGTTCATTATCACAAGAAGAAACAAACACTAGTATGGGATAAATACAATCATGGTATTAAAAAAATACAAGCTTATGATTTTCTTGTATACTCAACATACTAGTTTTTGCTTTTTCTTGGTAAGAAACTTGAATCTTCAATTCTTTTGATATTTCACTTTGATCTTGATGATCTTGTTTCTCTCGTAGAAATTTGCCTAAAAACTTCATTGAATGAAAAGAAGAAGAAAAAGTTAAATTATTCAAAACCTTATTACCCTGCCACAATAATTTCAAATTTGAATTGTTCTTTTTCTTCTTTTAGTTCAATAAAGTTTTAGGTCAATGTCCGCAACAAGAACAAATCATCAAGATCAAATGTGAATTTCAAGCAAGTTGATGAATAAAGTTCATGATCAAGAAGAAACAAACACTAGTATGGGATAAATACAATCATGGTATTAAAAAAATACAAGCTTATGATTTTCTTGTATACTCAACATACTAGTTTTTTTGCTTTTTCTTGGTCAGAAA